TGCCAGAGAAACTTTCCAAGCACGCGAGGCCCAATCTACAATCTAAGCCCTAGAACCCACTTCTTCGTCGAATTTCCCAACCAAACATGACCTCAGATCCTCCATTCTCTTACCCACTGAGTCATCATCCAATAAAAACGACCCTTTGTACGTAGAAGCAGATCTCACAAAGCCTCCTTGAAACAGACGTGGGAGACTCACAACCTCCAAGAAAGAACGCATACCCAAACCAAAACCACAAGAGAGGAAAGAGAAAAACAAAGGAAAGTAACTGAGGATTTCACTGGAGTAGATGACTCCGGTGACTGGTCGGAGCAGTGGGCTCAGACCGTGTCTCCGTTACCGGAAGCTTTCTCTCTCATAGCAGTCCAACAAATAATGACGCGCAATTTCGGCCTTTATGCTTGATGATGCTTGATGTTTGCATGATATTTCTTATTTTCTGAGAAATCTTAATATTTGAGAAATTGGTAAATAGTGGTATAATTAGCACTTGACTTTCCAAATTCAAAGCTTAATGAATATTCTGTGGAAACATGGTTGTCTTGAGTTGATCATAAGCCCCAATTAGAAAGCACTAGACAAAGGTCACAAAGCTCCCTTTCATCTTAGAGTAACAAAGAGAACTTTGGAAGACAACTCCCAGTTTGTTTTTCTCAAACTTAATGCTACTATTAATGCAATAAATGCTTAACAAGAAAACAAATTTATAGACCCGGAATTTTTGTCTATAATTGGATTATTTTCTATAAAATAATTACGAATTAGAACATTTATACGCCAATGGTGATTTATTGAAAATCAAGACTGTCTGGATGTCACTAACTTTTTTTTGATAAGTTTTTATTTTGGTAATGAAAATAAAATAAAATAAAATGGAATGGCTAACTGGAATAGCTATAATCCTAATAAAGCAATCACAATAGTGATAAGTATTCAGAAGCAGCCCCAAATCTCCATGTTAAACTGGAAAAGATATGCCAATACTATTTTGACATTGTGCTTGATACACAGAACTAGAAGCCTACAATTGTCTCCATATAGATTATTATTGTGTGCATGTGTGTGTGTATGTGTGATATTGATTTCTATTTCTTTTTTAAACAAGCTAAAATGCTATATATACTGGCACTTTATAGTGTAAATTCAAAATGAACTTTTCATGCATAATCATATATTACATGAACATGCAGAATAATGTCAAACATTAGCCGTGTATATAGGAACATAGATTTTTTTGACAAGTGTTGATATGAACATGAACATAGATAAAAGCCCTTGAGAGAAATCCTGCTATTTTAAAAGCCCATAAATGTTCTTGTATCCAAATTAAAAATAAAAATAAAAATAAAGAAAAAAGAAAAAGAGAAGGAAACTGAACAAAGAAAATTTTAAATTAGAAAAACCTAACAGTTATAAATCAGTATACATATATATAGACCAAAACACAAACATGCTACAAAAGCCCATGGCACAAAGTATTCATGCTTAAATGAAAGAAGGAAGGAAAAAAAAAAAGTTGGAAACATATCATCCAACGAGGGAAAAAAAAGCACATACTAATTACAACTGTTGAAATCCACCTAAATGTTCAAATTGACAAATGGATTTCCAATGCCACTAGTGAGCATACAACATCAAATATGTCATCAATCATAATTTTACAGTTATCAGGGAAAAGATCATGTGACTGTTTAATGAGTATACACAGTGCTAGTAACCAATAGTACACGGGTAAGGACAACCATAAGGAAAGGGAAAAGAAAAAGAGGATGAAAACAAAGGGAAAAGAAAAAGAGGATGAAAACAAAGGGGATTTACATCAACAGAAAGAAAGAAATAAAAATAGAATATGATTGCTATCACAACAACCATCTGCTACTAATGGCACCACAATCAGCAGCATCTCTCTCTCTCTCTCTCTCTCTCACACACACACACACACAAATAAAAAATAAAAGTCCTCCCATGCCATCGTGGAATCAGCATCATTCTTGCCCAAGTTCCCGACACACCATAGCCACAACCATCTTCACCTTCTATCAGTGTTACTAGAGGCTCAAGGTGCACAAAGGTGCTAGAGGATCCTTTGGAGCCTAGGTGCGAGGCGCGCACCTGAGTGAAGTGAGGTGCATAATTGAAATTTTAAACTACCATAAAAGCATTCATATATCATAACTCATCAATATTCTTAAAATTAATATCATATATAAAAAGGTAAATCCATCATTCAAGAACCATAAAACGGAGCACAAATTTGTTTTCTAGAAAGGCAAAGCAGAGTGTGCACGCGTGCGTACACATAAATTAAAAAAAAAAAAAAAAATTACTATTAACAAGAAAAGAAAAGTAAAAATAGAGCCCAAAAATAAAAGATGCAGAGACAAAAGAAGTAGATGAAGAGAGAGAAAATGTTAAAGAAGAAAAAGGAGAAAAAATAGAGCCCCAAAAAAAAAAAAGACAGAGAGAAGAGAACTAGACAGAGAAAGAGAAGTAAACAAAGATGAGAAGAGGAGTAGAGGAGAAGAGAGGAGAGAGAAGTAGAGGAGAAGAGAGAGAAGAAGAAGAAGAAGAAAGAACTGACATGGCTTTGTCGTTCGTCTCTGCCACTAGGGCTTCGTCATTGGTCTCACAATCTCACTCTTTCTATGTTCGGTTCACACTTTGGCTCTTGGACTTTTTAATTTGTTTATTCTTTTGAACAAAAGTTCCTTCTCTCATATGCTTAGGCTTTCTTATTTGTCTATTAAGTTGCCAAAAGTACCCTTTTGGCTTAAGAAATAGAATAATCATTTAAAAAAAACAAAACAAAAAAACAGTGACGCACAATTAAGGTGCTCGCCTAGTGAACATCAGTGCGCCTAGGATGACAACAGGCGCTAGACCTGCGCCTTGAGCCTAGGCGCGCCTTTAACAACACTGCCTTCTACAACCCAGAGTGACCTCATACCGTCACTATTTGAATTCATAACCATCCAAAAGCAAAGGCAGTGCCAATAGCCACCACTATACAGCTCAAAAAAACTAAATCCTACCTCCAAGCATCATCAACGTTATTGGTTTAATCCCAAAACCAACCAGACATCTCCATCTTCATGACTGACTACCTTCAGATAATCAATCTGCATGAACCAAATCTCAATCTTGTCCTACCGCAGAGTCTCTGCCTGCCTCCAAAAAGAATTGTTTTCGTCTCTAGCTCCATCCAAATAAAAATGTTTGAGCAGCAATATTATCTATTACCTCCTCTTTTTATACAATTTTTGACCTGATCGTACCCATTCTCCTTTCCCTTACTAGCTAGAAATAACAGACACTCACCCAAAGCTCACAGCATTTAAGGTCATGATGGTGGGCGACGAAGAAAATAACTAGTCCATTTGCTAATCCGGCTGACTGAAGCAAGCAAGAATATTTTCTTACTTTTCAATGAGCAATCTCAGTAAAATAAAAAACAAATAAATACATAAAAGGTTTTCTGGGAGATGTCAACTAGGTTGCAACTTCAAGGTTTCTAGGATATATAATATTTAATGTATATGAGTTCCATGGATGCAAAATATTTTTTGGGGCATCTCTTGGCCATATTATTCTATTCTATGGCAACATTTTCCACAATGACACAATCTATCCTGCCTTGCAAATAACCTTTTAAAGATATCAGACATGGTCACTCTTAGGGATCTCTTGGCCATTAAGTTTCACTATTACTTCACTTCTACTTCTAGTTTTTCTACACGTAATATATTCAATCTTAATCCCGCTTAATGAATAACCTTTAAATGTTGAAGTATCTCTTAATATTTTGAACTTAAATTAACTGTTTTCTAATTTGATGAATAAAAATTATACTAACATGAACATGAATTATACCATTAGCAAACAACATGCACCATAAGATGTCCTCTTGAATAACCTTATGAGTTCATCCATAACTAATGTAAAATGATAAGTACTCAATATTCAGGGGAAAAAAAAAAAAAAAAAATGATAGTACTCAATGTTAGAATTTTGGTATTTGTCTCTTGTTCCATAATTCCATTATTCCCACACTAGTTACATCTCATTTTTTTCTAAACCCTTCATATTATCTCCTTAGATATACTATCATATATTTTTCCCAAGTTGATTAAAAATCTTCTCTTCATACTTTTCCACCAATCGTCTAAATACCAAATAGTGTCATCGAGATCTCTGAGACATAAAACCAAATCAGTTTTCCAAACATTGATCTCTATGTCTTAATCTTTACTCATTACTCTCTCCCAACGTTAAATTATATGATTTTTAAGTTTAATACTACCACAATCAATTCCATGTTGACTGTCACATTTGTTCTTATATAAAGGTTTAAAACTGTTTTTCCTTCATTCATCATGCATCTTCCTAATCTGTGAAATCTTATTAAATTCCACTAAATTCTATAACCTTCCTATTTTCATTTCATAGTCTCTTCTAACTCGACGTGAAAATTATCCAATTTGTTTCATAGGTACTAATAGAAACTGAACCTATATGACAAGTATAATTTTGATACAAATAATTTAAGAAAAAAACTCTCCACTCATTATTTGTTCTCATACCCTTAACACCCTTTGGTCCTCGCCCTTAATACTCTTGGCCTAATTCAAATTCTACATTAAAAATATATATATATATATATTGAAAATCAATAAAACATCAACCAACAGAATGCCTTAATGTTTCTTTATATTTTCATCGGTCGGTGGTCTACATCTAACTTAAGGGATGGAAATGTACTACAGTGGATGGACTAACTCCCCCATTATTATACATATGAAGCATCATGTGAAATAAAAATAATAGAAAGATTAAATGCTTAAAATAGAAAAGTAAGGAATAAGTGTAACTTTAAAAATCTATTAAGACATAAATGAAAATTTGATCCAAAAAGCTGTTGAAAGATGAATTTTCTTATCATGAAAGACTATCTTCCTAATATTAGGTATACTAGATATTCAAATGTTTTTAGTGCTTACCACTTTGCAAGCTTTTGGATTCTCTCCTCCATTTCCATCCGTGTAACCCGTGGCTTGTCGAAAACATCATTGGATACCTCAAATGACTTGAATGCTGCTCTTTGCATCCCCGCTGCATTAACATTATTCTTCAGGGTAGGCACACTGCTCCTACTGAGTTCCACACTTTTCGATGCAATTCTTCTATAAGAATATTTTTCACCCTCAATGCAGTCTTTCTCAAGTCTTCCATGCATTTCGTTGCTTCTAAAACCATGTTTATTTCTCCCAAACGTGTGTCCTTCCAATTGATCATCACTTTTGTTTTTCATCCATCTCCCATTTGCTGTATCGACTGCCAACCTCCTTTTGACATTTACATCCATTTTCCTTTCTGCATCATCCAATTCTTCTCGAACTGAAGAACAGGCACTCCCTATATTACCCTTCTCTTTAAATCCAATCCTCTTGGAATCCTCCAATATTCCACTTCCTCTCTTTTTGTAATTAATCTTACCATTAAACACTCCTTCTCGGCAAGCAACTCCATTAGAATTGTTGCGCAGCTCGCTTTGCTTCAATGACCCGGCCTTATCTTGAGATGATTTCCCTTTAAAATCATCCAAATTGGCATTTTCTTCAGCACCTTCTGACCGCGGTGTCCTCAAAACATCCTTTCTGCTCGAATCATTCCTTGACTTGTCTCTATTTGATTGATGGGTTTGCTTCTTCTCCCTAACACACTCCATATCCTTCAAATACTCATCAAACGATGGCTTGAACTCAAACTCTTTCTCAAGAACACCACTATCAACCAATTGATTGCCAGACGACAAAACATTGACTGGCCTGAAATTTCGTGTTCTTAAACAGGAAACCCTATCCTCCATAATTTTCTTTGTTTTTAAAGTGACACCACAACTGGGTTTTGGGGGAATCAAATACCCACAAGACAGAGACAAGTTCTGGCTACAATTCAATGTCAAAATTCCATTTTTTTCAAAACAACAGACACCCATTTGAGAATTTACCATAACCATGACCACCATCTCAGTTAACACTAGGATTCAAAAATCGCCCAACAATTCAAAGAAAGCTCAAATTTAGGCAAACTACTATACTAATTTGAAGTGAAACAAAAAATTAAATAGGCAGAACATAAGTGAGTGTCCATTAAATTCAATGAAACTTACACCTTTGGCAGTCAAGAAATCAAAATATGTAGTATGGACGGCTTGTTCCTATACGTGCGCCATATCAGCTCTATCAAAATGTATTCTTCTGGCAAACGAAAACAACGAGAGAGGGAGAGACGAGAGAGGGGCCTGGAGAAGGGGTGGGGCTGATCTTGTAAATGGGTACGTCGTTAATGGGCCTCCTTTAAAATGGGCCGGTCGTTTTCCATATAGATGATAAATCAGAATTAATAAGAATTCATTTGTATTCTTTAAATTAATATACCTCTGGCAAAGGAAATACGGAGTAATTGACAAGTTATATCGTAATGTTGCCAATATTAAAGTAATCTCACGGTAACAAAAAAATAATAATAATAATTCAAATATTATAAATTAAAAATAATTATTTATGAAGGATTTTGTGGTTAAGTGATATTTTATTTATCTCTCAAAGTGAATGATGAGGGTTCGAATCTTCAAATGAGCAAAATGAGTGTATAAGTGGTGTCTGTGTGAGTTTTTTGCCAATAAATAAAATAAAATAAAAAATTAATAATTTGGTCACTTGAATAGTGCAAAGACTATTTATTATCACAAGGTAGACCTCATAATAGCATAAATCCCCAGTTTTTGGCTAAAAAAAAGAAAAAATCATGAGGTAATTTACCTCCTAATTTATTTATTTTTCATAGCACTAATCTCCGTTAGTATTACTGTAAACCTCATAATAGCATTAGTCCCCGTTACCATTTCGCTGAAAAAATTAATCAGGATGTCATGGACTTATTCGGGGTTAGCCGTAGCCCACTCATTTCTTTTACAATGATAATAGAGAGAAAAGATTAAATAATAATCATAAATGTATGTTTTTTTTTTCTGCATTAACTCCTACATTTGGAAGAAAGTAAAAATGAGAATCACAAAAATGTTCATTTCTCTCCTTCTCCTTCTATTTTTATTTTTTTTATAAACATAATTTAATATTTCTCTCCTTTTTAAAAAAAAATTTCCCCTTCTAATTCACTCAATTCAATTGTACCATAAAACTTTTTTTTCTTTTTTTTTTTTTGAGTAAATAAGTGTGCATAAAAGAAAAGAAAAATACAAGTATACAAGGGGTATTCCCCAGGAATGGGCCATGTGCCCCATTATCAAAACAAAAGCAAAAGAAAAAGAATCTCAGTCCAAAGAAAATAAAAAAGAACAGTCCAAGCCCAAGTCCATACTGTCCAAAAAATTAGCCCAATGTGCTACCATAAAACTCAAGCCCAATCCATATTCATGGGCGGGAATTCATCAACATGTTTCTCAAGATGTCTCAGTTCTGGGAGGTTGTTTGGCTGTGGCTGGGGCTGTGGTGGTTGCAATTGGGGTGTGGGTAGGGTATGTGGAAATGAGAAGAAAAGGTTCGAATGGGATGGTTCATAGATGATTAATAAAACGAGCTAGGAAGATTCCAACTCTTTGCAATTCCTTCAGCATACGAGCATGAACATTTATTGACGGAGAACAACTTATACCTTACTGAATTGACAATTGCATTGAAGGTCTTTGTCAGGATTACACTCAAATTCTGAAAGATCCTATTGTTGCGTTCCCTCCATATGTGGTAAACAAAGTTTGCTAGCATTAGCTTACGAGTAAGTATTTTGCAGAATTTAGCTTTTTTGCTTCCAATTTGAAGACGCCCAAATTAGGAAATCTTGCCACGAACTAGGGTTTGTGTAAAATCCACATTTTTGTTGGATTTCATTTCAAATTTCATTAGAGTATGAACACTGATGAAATATGTGTTCACGACTCTCTGCATCACTTAAGCACAGTGCACATTCGGCTGCAACATGTATGCATAGAGTGCTTATCAAGAGTTGATAATTTTACTTTACTTGCAACACATAGGCAAAAAAAATGCTTCGGTGTGAGTTGTTTGAACCATACAAGCTTATGCCAGTATTTAGTAGGGAGCTAGAGGTGGAGATATGGCTTTGATGGTGGGAGTACTTTTTTCCCACTGTACGATGTCTTTAACTAACAAATTTGGTACGATAGAGGCGAATATGTCAAAATGTGGAGTAAATAGAAATTTCGTATTTTTTATAATTTTTAAATTTTTAGATCTCATCAAATTGGGTTAAATATATTTGTCATTTGATGGTTTTGTATCAAATTTGTTTTCCTAATTCAATTTTAACATAAGATATTAAGTTACAATTTATTAAACTGAATATTTGAAGGAGTGAAAGTTTCATCATATTTGTTCACCATCACTTGCATGCCCTTGTAACAAGTGACTAGAGAATTAAAATTTTTTGAATTCCAAATTCTGTACTTCCAAACTCAAATTATTATTTTCTAACCATATTTACATGCTACTAGAATTGTAATTGAACTCAAGCTTTTAGGAATAAAAAATAAATAATAAAAAAATAATAATAAAAAAGTTTCATAATCATTCCGAACATGATTCAAAGTTTTCAATTTAAAATATTTTTATTTAAAATAAAAGAATAATTCAATTTGACTGTAGTCACTGTACAACTGTACATGGAGGATCACAGGTCAATCATATAACAATTTGATTTGGCGGGGGTTGGTGCCAAACCTACTACTAGGCTAAAACTGGGAAGAATATGAACACGCCTTTCGTGATTGACTAAATCTCAACCAGTGCACAAAAAGACTACTACGTGTGATGTGCGATTACTTTATAGTATTTGACAGGTTTGGACAAGATGGAACATTGCCAACTTGTTCCTAAAGTAAATAAAGGTAAAGTTGTTTTCCCATTAAAATAAAATAAAATGCATGGATGATATGGTGTCTTTTAAGTGACATTAATATTTAAAATTTTCTGTATAAAATTATATATATATATATATTCTCAATTTGTAAACTATTTCATTTGATGAAAACTTGAATTAAAAAACATTAAAAAGAGAATGCATTTCTCAAGCCTCTAATTTCTTCTCAACTTTTTATTTTTTTATTTATGTCTATCATGTTGAATTGAACCAACTCTTTTCTATATATATATATATATATATATATATATATATATATATATACACATAGATTGTCCGAGTTAACCTCATCAAAATCAGAGGCTAAAATATGAACTCATCATATGTTGCAATTGGAAAACCAACTCCAAATAAGCTTAAATTAATTTTGGTTCAGGACAAGAAAAAATGACTATTTGCAACATGGAATTATCTTTTCTCTTAGCCTGTGAATCGGTACAATGATTAGAATCAGACAATATTCATTTCAGAAAGCTCAAAATTTCATGTAAAATTAATGTACGTATCAAATACTATTTAGTCCATAAATGATATTCATAAATCATAGCGAAGTACTATTTGTGTACAGTGTTATGTTACTTTCACTAAATTTTAAATTCAAGCGATATTTATTATTTCAATTCGAAACCCAATTGGAGCATAGTGAACGCATATATATGAAGTTAATTAGGTGAAGTTTGGTCTGTATATTCTTAATTTAAGAAAGAAAAAAAAAATAAATAAATAAAACGCCTTTTCAATCATATCCTTTTGTTTAATTAAAATAAATCTTTGGTTGGATTGCGTGGATGCAAGCAGACAGTTGCCATATTAAGTTATTAACGCTCTGCAAATTATGAATAGACATGACTCAACCTTAGAATCAATTTCTGTTATATCTTGTCCGATATTTGTTCCATCAGTCTAATTTTTTTTAAGAGGAATGAGAAATGAATCTGACACTTAATATTAGAAAATTTATACTTTTTAAGTAACAAATTATATATAGTTTTTATTTTTTTTGGATAACAAAATAGTGATAACTGACCAAAATTACAATCATTGAATACATTCATCTGATTCCAAGTATATATAGGACATATTTCAACACTTTGAATGGTAAATTTTTAATACAGAAATTTCAGCTTGGTGATGAGTGAGAGTGAATGAAATCTTGGCATTTGATTGTATATAATTTCGCCATGGATGTATTTGCATATATGCTTATGTGTTAATACGATGATGATAAAAAAAGAGATTTAACTTTTAAAAATAATCGACCATAAAATGAGTTAGAAATTCACCGTTCAAATTAAGTGTTTTGAAATCAGAAAAATCTTAAAAGAAAATTGATTTGTACAGTTAGGAATTGTTTAGTTTTATCTCACAGTTATATCATTATTTTACATTGCACAAAGTGTTTCACCATTATACTCACAGTTTTGCGTGTAAGTTGAACACAGTAGCGTGTAACTTAGCTGCCGACAGACATGGATTCCATGAAGTAAGAAAATGACGTTTATCACTCCACGCAAAACCTTGCCAGTTATATCAATGGGTTGAGACTTGAAAGTGATAACAATTTATGAGCAATGCATATTATAGTATGGGTGAATTTTTCATTGAGAGAAATGAAATTAGATTTAACCAAAAAAGTAGGCAAAGAACAGTGAAGGATGCTCCACTGTGCATGAATCATGGTGAGAGAGAGAAAGAGACATGGTGAGAAGACAGGTGAAGTGATATTCAAACTGTCATGACCTCCCAACGTGGGTGTCTAAGCATGCCATGGGACCCCCCTTTTGTCTCCTTCCACCCCCACCCCTTTCTCTTCTAATTCCCTCCCGCTCCCTCTTTATATCTTCCTCCCTTCACATCTCGACCTTCCTCCTATATTCATTCCTCCCCTCTCTCTCTCTCAATTCAGTCCATATAATCTCAATTCAGTCCATATACTAAAATCCCATCTCTGTGATATATATATATATATGTACACACACACACACACATACATGTATTGTGTGCTTCTCTAAAGACCCATCTAGAAGTCCTGGAAAAACACCAACCTCCCTCTCTCGGAGAAGTTTTAAACAACTTATTGTTATTATTAATTTCACTTTTCTTAGATACTTGAACTCATTCCATTTGCAATATACTCTGGTATTAATTAACAACTTTTAAAATAATAAAAAATTTCAAGAAACCCAGTGCTTGAGCTTCACATGTCAGAAAGCCCTTGCAACTCCAGAAACAGCAGCAGTTCCATGTCTCAGAACAGCATCAACAACGTCCGACAGCCGCCGCCGCCGCCACCGTCACTCAGCAGGTATGAGTCCCAGAAGCGCCGTGACTGGAACACATTCGGGCAGTACCTGAAGAACCACCGGCCACCACTCGCTCTGTCCCGGTGCAGCGGGGCCCACGTAGTCGAATTCCTCCGGTACCTCGACCAATTCGGAAAGACCAAGGTCCACAACCACAATTGCCCCTTCTTCGGCCACCCACACCCTCCCGCACCGTGCTCCTGCCCTCTCCGCCAAGCCTGGGGCAGCCTCGACGCCCTCATCGGCCGCCTCCGTGCCGCTTTCGAGGAAAACGGGGGACACCCGGAGACCAACCCTTTCGGGGCACGCGCCGTCCGGCTGTACCTGAAGGAGGTGAGGGACTCTCAGGCCAAGGCCAGAGGGATAGCATATGAGAAAAAGAAGCGTAAGAAGACACAGAAGCAGATTGTGTCACAAACACAATCAAACATGGTGTTGGGCCAGTTACAATCACAGTCCTCTAGTTCAGCTGTCGATGATGATCATCATTTATTAGTGGGATCAAAAGATTTTGGTCATGTTCATCAACATGATCAGCCTTCTTGGGCATGCACTACACTGATGAGCCCGATGAAGCTCTAGGCATGGCTCAAATTAATCAACTCCATGCCAGGTGCTCTCAATGTTCAACTAATGTTGTTTCTCTTTCTGCAATCATTAACTAGAAGTAGTGGTAGTAGCTACCTAGTTGCTATCATGTTAATGAGCTAGTATGGTTAGAATAATGCTATTTGAACTGATCTTGGTGTGATGTGTTTTTTTTGTTTATCTATAATCTGTAGACTGTATGGGTAAAGAAAAGGGTATTATAACTAATTAAGTACACTCTCTTTGCTAACTTAATTAATTTTGATTCTTCTTCTTTTTATGTACACATATACATATATACGTGTGTGTATATGTGTGTGTGTTTGTTTAGGCAATCATGTATAATTGATAGCATCTATCCTCGGAACTAGCATTTTTGTGGCCCCCAAGGGTTTGGTCCAGCGGTTAGGAGAGGGCCCTGGTTCTAATATGTCCAGGGTTCGACTCTCCAACGCTTCATTATATTTTTTGATTTAACGGGGTTGTCGTTGTGGGGTTGGTTGCAGCACCCTCAGTTTGCATGTCCAAAAGGGCTTTGTCTATGGGAGTTCCGAGTTCCAAAAAAAAAAAAATGAGATTAATTTAAAAAAAAAAAAAAAAAAAAAACAAACAACCAGGATAGTTAATTTCCACACAAAAATTATGCTTGGTGAAGGGCCCATTGGGCGAAAAAAAAACTTTGATTTGGAAGTTCATGCACATATTTTAGGGTTTATGGCGACAGTGATTACTAGCGAACAAGTAATTGAATGCACTAAAAACTGAAATTGACAGTGGAGTTTTCATGCCCTATCAAGCGTTAAGAATTAAAATATTCTCCAATACATTTTTAGCAATACACGCTTTGTAGTGTAAAATTCTTCACTGTAATGTAGTAACTAATGTTAATTAATGCAAGAAGTGACCTGAGAATTTTTATCCCAAGTCCACCTGATTCCTTTTTACATAATCCTAAATGCGGAATTACTTAATTTTCGCTCAAACCGTCTAAAGGCAATCTACATAAGAATTCATTAAGAATTCTGATATGTACTTATGTACTGTGTATTTGTGGGGGTTCTTTAATGGAAAATCGATCTTGTTTAATAGACGCGGAGGTATCTAAATACGAAATACAATGGAAGATAATCACCTCCTGGGCTTAAGAGCCTCGGCCCTTATTTATAGCCCAGGCCATTGCACGAAAAAAAAGGCAACAATGATGGCTATGCTAGATATAACAGGAGTACCCTAGTCTTTTTATCCTGAGATTAAGTATCATTACATCAAGTATCCATCCTTTCGTAGGCCGCAACAACTGGGGCTCATCAATGCGATTGCCCCTATCTCGATCGAGGCGCGCGGGTCCCTTCTCCTTCAATTTGCCAAAGGATTTGGCTCGAGTGAACTTTGGTGTCGTCAGCAGTGCTACTTGGTATTGGGGCTTGATCCCCTACAGTATTCACTATGTGTATATATATTTGAGTGGAGTGTGTGTTTTTTTGGTGATGTATAATGCGATGCAAATATTCAATCATAGTGTAGTCATTTCGAAGTCTTTTCAGTTCTCTGATCAAAGCTGCCATACCTCTTGGAGTAAAATTACACGTCTTGATTCGCAGCAAATGAGCAGAGTACGTGCAGAGTGCCACTCACGTGAGTTCGTTGGCAAGACAGACATCTTCTGAGTTGTGTGTATGGGGGTAATTATTAAATAGTTCTAATTTTTTTTGGGAACAAATTAAGGTTAGGAGACTCCAAAATGGGCACAACGGTACATAAATTGAGTGCTCCACCAACTAAGAGGCCATTGTGTATTGCCCTATTAGTCTTATTAAATAATTATGTGATAAAAAACCTTTCAACAGTGATGTTAAAAATGAAGTCTGTTAATATGACTTGAAAAAAAAAAAATTGACTTTATATAGTGTCATAATGAATAAACTATGATACACTAAACTTACAAGTTCAATCCTACATCTGCATACTCCCTTATTTAAATCACTCTTCTCAAAGTTGGAATACAGAAATGGTGCACCATTATTTTAACTCTCGCGATAGTAATTTAATTTTTCAAATTCCTCTGAGTGTCTTGGGAGGACCTGATAGTAAAGTTTGGGGTGCGTCTTCTAATGGGTCTTTTTGGGTCCGCAGTGCATACTCCCTTATTTAAATCACTCTTCTCAAAGTTGGAATACAGAAATGGTGCACCATTATTTTAACTCTCGCGATAGTAATTTAATTTTTCAAATTCCTCTGAGTGTCTTGGGAGGACCTGATAGTAAAGTTTGGGGTGCGTCTTCTAATGGGTCTTTTTGGGTCCGCAGTGCTTATCAAATTGCCTTATCCGTTCTTCAAGAGAATGTTGGTTCAGCGTTGACTGAGGGTAGTAGTTTTGAGGGTGCTAAGCCTGGTATGTGGCGCCTTTTATGGTCTATTCCAACACATCGAAAGATTCAGCTTTTCCTTTGGCAGAGTTTGCATAAACGTATCTCGGTGAATTCTTTACTTTCACGTCGCGGGATTTCAGAGATTTCTTCTTGTCCTTTTTGTGAAGCGGCTGTGGAAACGATGGATCATCTACTTTGTTCCTGCCCTTTTGCTTGTTTGGTTTGGTTGCTGAGTCCTCTACGTTTTGACTTTCGGGGGGTGTCTCCCTCCTTTTGGCCAAAACGATGGGTGGATCTTACAGAGCGCTTGCTAGGTTCTGCTAATTCAATGGAGAGTTTTAGTACGTCTTGCCTCTTTCATTTGCCGGACCATTTGGAAATGTCGAAACGACCTGATCTTTGCTCACCGCCATTGGGATCCATTTAAGGCAGCCCAGAAGGCTCACAGGGACTTTTTTGAATTTCAGGAAATTCAGCGTCAATCCAGTTTGCTTTCTCTTCCTTCCCCTACGGTTGTTTCTGTTCCTTCAAGATGGTGTGTTCCGGCTTTGGGTTGTCTTAAACTCAATTTTGATGCAGCTTTTGATTCATCTAGAAAGCTATGCGGGGGTGGTATGATATTGCAGAATCATGATGGTCATCCTATCCGAGTGGCTTCGGTTTTTTTCTCTCACGTTGGTGACCTATCTATTGCTGAAGCTCTCATTCTTCGCAAAAGTCTCTCTCTTCTCCAGCTATGGGGATATCAGAATGTTGTGGTGGAGGGTGATTGTCAGCCTGTTACGAGGCTTCAACCCTCTGCGGCTGCTCTTTGTGTGATTTTGAGTGAAGGGTTTGGCCCCAGTGATTGTTAACCGCTTAACTTCCTGATTGTATTCTTCCTTTTCTTTAATATTCTGTTTCTTCCGTTAAAAAAAAAAAAACAAAAAAAACTCCCTTATTTAATAATAGACAACTAATGACAAATAAGTGCAATTCTATACAGATTGCATAGTTATCTGCCCAAAACAAAGTTAAACAGAGTTATGTATCAAAAATGATACTACAAGAGAGTTAAGTATAATTAATTCATATATAATTAGGGATAATATTCTGATGTCCTTTTGAAGATATCCAACAAATTAGTTATTTGGCTCTCTCATATATTTCATTTAAGTTAATTTGGTCAAAACAAACGTATTGATCCAGAAAGATGCCTCATTCATAATGTCATTTGTTTCTTTCTCCCTTATTCATCTAACGACAATAGAAATATGTTTCATTTTTTTCTCTTCCCTCTTCTATGTAGTGAGTGTCATTAACAGTTTTTTTCAAAAAATTTAAATTATTATTATTATATTTTTTATTTTTTAGTGTTCAACAAAGATCTAAATTGAGATTGATGTCGAGTATGTTGGGAGGTATGCAAAATAACTTATTGAAAATTAATGTGTGAGTTATTTTTGTTAAATTTTAATATTATTTTTATTTGTAAATATTTTACGACAATCAAACACTAAAAAAAAATTTAAAAAATATTTTACATCCAAATAAATGAAACCTAAAAATCAATTTTATACTGTCTTACAAACAACATACCTATTATTTATTTTTTTATGATTTATCTTTTGATAATCCAATACATTAAATATCATTCTCATATAGAAAATAAACTAATTGAACATTTAACCAATAACATTGTTTATGTTAGAATCTTATTTCAATATCTTATTTATTTGATATTTGACATAAAAGATAAAGTCTATAATAAAATATATACAATCCAACTGTGAGAGCGTTGAACGAAGGCTTCCAAATGCCACATTATGGTCTTACTATGGTTAATTAGATTATTAGTATCAAGTGTGACCTCTTCATCAATGGTGTTTGAACATTGAACATTTAATGATGGATCGAGCGTTATCGTAGTGGATCGATAAATGTCGTGAGATGAGGTCAAATGAGTCCACTAAGAACTTTCATTTCACTGTGTCATGATAAAAATTTCGTAAAATTATACAGATCATTATCTTGTTCTAAAATCTTTTAAGAAAGAGTTCTTGAACTTTAATGATCAAATCATTGAAAAAATTAAAATTTCTTCCATCCCCTCTTTAGCATTGTTGAGATTTCACTTTCCTATATAGTTATTGATTGTGTCGATTTTAATATAAAATATTGTCTTTCCAGGGTTGTGTCACTTATTTCTGAGACATTGTTTCACATCCACAAATATATATCAAGTGAAACATTTTTCCTTCACAAATCCTTTTGTAGTAAAGTTGTGGTGGAAAAGTCTTTGCTTTAATGGACCAAATTTTCCATCAATTCAACTCCGACATCCATCATTACTAACAGCTAGTGATACGATTCATTTCATTATTTTATTTCATTGCAGTACTTCTTTCTTAACCTCAAGGCATTTTGTGATGTTGTGGTTCGAAATTGGTGCTTGACTAGCTTAAGATTTGATGGTCTGTTAAAAAAATTTTGATTTGATTTTTCATTCATGAGTCGTGATCTTAAATAGTCATTAATAACATGATATATAAGGATGGTTAGGATTGAAGGTAGTATAAGAGACATTTTGAAATTTGTAAAAAAGTAGGGTGAGATACTGAAAATTTATAATCATCGATTTTACACATGGTAAAAACTTTCATCGGATCCCAATCATAAATGTAGAGTATAGCCGAATCATGTATAAATCTTTATATAATGTGTTTACTTTTCTACAGTGATTTTTAATTTTATCTTTGTTTCATTACATTTAGCATTACACATATTACTATGATCACTTATAATATAAGATATCTTCTCTCATTTCAAATTAAGAAAAAAAATCATGTCAAGTTAGATAGAGATTTCATGTGCAATTCTATTCAGTGAAGTTCGTTAGAATAAATAGTAACTCACTTCATTTGTTTGTATAATCCGTATATATTTGCATTCCGCTACGTCTATATATAATTTTTTTGATAATATTATAGTTAAAACCTAATTTAAATGTAATGTCAGTACTTTTATCATTTTATCATTATATTAGATCCCCATTAACCAAAAAGAAACAGGATTTAAAACTTACATAAAAATTTATCTCAAACACTTAATTTTAAAAGCAGAGTCGGATCACCTTCAATCTTCAATTTAAGATGACTATACTTTCTTCTAACCCGATTTAGATATACTAATCCTCTTTTTATGCTGTGAAGAAAAGTTCAAAAGAATAATCTCACTATCTAAACCAACTTAAACAACACTTGGTCTATTTGCATTGGAGAAATTTTCACATCGTCTCGTGTGATTCCAACTAATAACAAATTGTCATGTGGCCAAAAATTTAAATAAAATTGACACATTTAATTACGCAAAAATAAAGATATCGAGCAACAATCACAATGCATTTCAAAAGCACATCTAGCTATGTAAATTTTATTTTACACCCAAACAGAGCCCTCAGGTTTTAATTTACTAATGTTAAAAAAACAATATCATTTGTTTTGGGACAATTTGATAAGCACCACCATATTTCTTGGGAATTTAAGTACGTGGTACCGCAGCATCTTTCAGCGTCCCATGAAAAGTCAAATCAAATCATTTGGTTTTGCATAGCATTTGAATGCAAAAAACGAGGTAAATGAACAAATAAATTATAGGAAGAAAGAAGAATCAACATCAATCTTCTAAACAAGAACATCAATCGTCTAAACAAGAACTCTCAGTGTAATGACAATAAATAGCAAGAAAAAAAATCGTTCTTTCAATCGATTGGAAAAAAATGTTTTGTTCAGTTGAGTAGGAACATTTCAACAAATCTTTAGCCGTAAATGCAGTAATGTTCCTACGAATCTATGTATATGTATAGTGTAACAGACCATGCAACATCTGATATAATAATTGAATGTTTAGTTCTTCGAGAACTAAAAAATACAAAAGAATTATAAAAGATAGTTATTTAAAAATTAATTTTTAATTTTTATAACTCTAAGTCAAGTAAAGTTTTTGTATAATTTTTTCACTATATTCTTTGTTTTTTTTTTAATACGCATGGCATGAGTTAATTCTTATAGTTCTATTTGGCTGCCTAATCAATGAGAAGATTTGAATTATTAACTATCGGAAAATGCAATATAAGAAATTGAAAAGGGTCAAGTGCAAAAAACACCACTAAAGTATGTTTACAGTGCATATCACATTCCCTCACATACAAAAAAAATACTTTAAAGTTTCAATTTGGTGCAAATAGGTCCCACTGACAAATTTAAACCCTAAGTTAACTAAATTACCCTTACTAAATGGTTTTATAAAATATATAAAAATAAATAATTTTATAAAATGACTGAAAAGGACACTATTGGAGAATGCTCTTCTCGTGTAAAAAACACCCATAAAGTTTCAACCTGGTGCAAATAAGTTCCTCTGACAAATTTAAATCATAAGTTAACTAAATTATCCTTACTGAACCATTTTATAAAATATATAAAAATAAATAATTTTATAAAATGACCGAAAATGACACTATTAGAGGGTGCCGACAATGGACAAGTAAAGATACAAATATAAAATAGAAAAAAAAAGTATAAAAGAAAAATAAAGATAAAAATAGAAAAATAAAAATAAAGTGCAAACTAAAGAAAACAAATTTTTTTCAAACTCCGAAAAATCAGTGCACACTGATATTGGGAATTTTTTATTTTAAATATTTATTTATTTTGTTTAATAGTGTTGGTACGAAAAAAAATAAAATAAAATAAAAAATTAGTAGAAAAGAGTCACTACAAGAAAAGGAGGCTTTTGGGACGGATTATTTGGGACGGTTCAAAAATTGTCTCAAATGAGCCTAGTTTTTGGGACAATAATATATCTACCGTCCCAAATGAAATATCTACCGTCCCAAATGAGAAAAAAAAATGACCGGGAATATTTTTGGTGGGAAAATGAGGCTCTTGGGACAGATCATTTGGGACAGCTTAATAATTGTCTCAAATGATCCTGCTTTTTTGGGACGCCAACATACTTACTGTCCCAAATGAGCTAAAAAATAACCGGGAATTATTTTGGTGGGAAATTTTGGCTGCTCGGAAATTTTGGCGCTTGATTTCCTCCCTCCCTAATTCCAATTTTCCCATGTGCAAAATATTAAAAAATTTCCATACTACACCGTTTTGGGTATTTGTAAAGTTGTAAACCCACTCTTTGTCTCTGCCATTCTCATTTCTATCACTATATAACTTAACCTAAACATTTATCATCTATCTACTCTCTGTACAGCAGACGCCGCACCGGCCAGTTGCAATTATCTCACGTTGGCCAGTTCGGCTTCTCATCTCTCACCCTCATATACTTTCTCTGTACAACCGACGACGCCGCACCAGTTGCAGCTACTTCATGCGGGTTCGGCTTGCCACACTCTTCTCGGCGTGAAGCGATACACATACGAAAAACCTCTCTCGTGTCAATCGGAGCTAAGAAGCATAGTGATCGGAGGATCGATTGAATTTGGAAGGTCTGCTTTTTTGCTGCTTCTAATCTCTCTCGTGTCAATCAGAGCTCACTCTCTCTATCTCTCGATCGGTGATTGAAATCGACAATTATCCGTAAGTTTTTGCAATCAATCGTATGGTTATTGTGTGCGTAATTTCTTTAATGGCGTCCACACTTTTGATAAATTTTCCCTAATTTTCAAATCATGAATCATATGTGTGTTTTTGAGAATTCTACACTGGTGGATTTAGATCTTATTGGGATTTGGGGCACACAAACTTTTATGCCTATATTTGTATTATATATGTTTATGTATGCAGTACTTGTGTCAACATTGGTGCTCTGATTAATTATGATATAGAGTAAGAAATTTATATAAACATAGTTATATGATCTACTCCAGTTGTCTGGTTGTTTGCTAGAATCATCATTAGGCGAGCTTGATATGGCTGGACTGGTTGGTTTAGAGGCAAGCTGTTGATTGGTAATTTTTAAAGGTGGTTCTGATTTAGTGGTTCCTAGAGAGTCTTCATTTTGGATGATAATTTTTAATTTTTTAAGAATTAGTTTAAGATTTCCCAAGAATATAAAGCTTCCAACCCACAATTATTATTATTATTATTATCACTATTATTATTTCTTCCTGTGAATCTGAT